AATGATAGGTAAATAGTGCCCCAATGAAATAATGGCCCAAAGCCTTTAAGAGTGGGAAGGGGAAGTTAACAGTCCAGTTAGCTTCTTGGTAAAAGGGCAGGCATAGAGATAAATGTGGCAAGAAAAAATGTAGGTCATGACATTTGCTCTAGTTCCAAGTCACCAAAAGTCATGGAGATACTGACCTCTTAATGTGACAGATCTCTAAAATCCTTTCCCTAAAGGAGAAATTACAGCCATTCTTCATCATTTTTCCCTTTCCCTCATCCCCATCCTCAAAAAATGGAGAGAGGGAAGAATGAAGTATCCATGTTAATTTGAACCCACCCATAAGGCTCTTAGATTGCTAAGTATAGATGTTAAACAAGCAATTATCCATTCAGTTTTCACAGAATGGACAAGATTTTGGAGGGAAAAGAATTCTGGATGAAATATTTTAAGTTTGTAATGCAGATAAATTTAACTGAAAGTTAGGAATTTAGGAAATATGATCATTAATATAAGAAAATAATTATATACTTGACCTAGCATTTTATGACTTCACAAATTTTAAATGTTACACATTGTTAAGATTAGTTTGGACCTTGATAGGGTGCTTTATATCTTTGAAGAGCTAGTACCAACTTGAATGTTTCTTTAATGATCAAAATGTCCTGCTAAAAACATTATTTGTTCCTTTTAGAAGGAAATCCAAGAAAATGAATGATCAGAACACAAACTATTGTTAAATTATTGATTTTTTTATGCTTATATGATTATTGATGCTTATAAAAGAATAGCATCCATAATCAGAATCAAAACTGCCATCCTCAACCACAAGAAAGGGTGGATGGGATCCAGTAGTGTGTTTTGGCTCCTGTTGCAACTGGTATGCTGCAACGAGACCTGGGCGTGCACCACGGGCATGCACGCTGTGCACATATGTGCACCCACCGCCTATGACACTCCAGCTGCTCGGCAGAATGCTATATGCTGTGCGTGCGCAGATGGCCCGTTTCTTTCAAATACAGGTAAGGAACAAGGGCGAGTGGGCAGGCACTTCAAAGCACTGTTCCGGTACGGTGGCTGCTGCTTCCAACAGCCACCAGTACAGGTGTACTGGGGCATACCACCTGCAACTCACCACTGGTGGGGTTTGAATAAAGAAGAATGTGCTAAAATATGCTATTTTTATCTCAGAATCCTACATAAATAGAACCCCTTTGATAACATGAGTGGATCATGCAGTTAGAATAGCAAAAATAAGAAAAATTCAAATTGAACTAAGACCAAGAAATATATCTTATAATATGGGGCAAACTGTATCATAAAACAGAAATTTCAAGGTCAAGATGGATATAATCAATAGTCCAATCCGGGCAGATCAAAGATGCATTTTTCCAGTTTAGTTTAAAATTTGTAGCTATGCAGATGTTGTAGGATTGCCCGTACATATTCCACCCAAAGTAAACTTTCAGTAATTAAACAAATTGCTTAAATAATAAAAAATGTCCAAAAAGTCATAATAAATTACCCAAAGACTAAATTAAAATTCACAAAGCTGAATGGCATTGTTGTATAATCAAACTTTGTGTAATAGATAGTAAAGGACCTAATTATTTGTGTTATTCCAAGCTCCTCTGAAATGCAACTTCTCAAAAATGCATGCATTATGAACAAGGTGCAAAAGTTCAGAAATGTATAGAATGATCTCTAGTGGTTAATAATTTCAAAAGTCCATTGTCATAGACTAAAAAAAGGATGCATTTATTTTTAACAACTACTATATAACAAAAAAAGACAAAGCATTTGCTGAGGAAGAAAAGAGGCGAGTGAAATCTTTTTGTAAATTTGCATTCTTAAATTTAGAAGCCAAGATTGCTTTGATAATGGTAATAGCATTTTGTGGAAATAATAGTGACAATATCAAAAAAGTTGATGCAGAATCTATGCTGTCCCCCTTTCTAAACACATCAACAATATTTGTGTTTTTGGCAGGCAAGGTAGGAGGGAATTACAGATGAAGGCTGTGAACTGAGAAGATATAAATCAAAGATTAATTTCTCCTAGTCTCAATGAATATAGCATGCTGCATCTAAAGTCAATTTCTTCCTTATTCTATTAGAAAATGTAATTTAGAAATTAAGCAAAGTTGAAGGGACTCCTAATTATTGTTAATAGGGAGTACAAAATGATCAAAGCATGTAGGAATGGGTTATGAGTTTTAAAAGAAACCACTAATAGTTCCAAGTCAGGAACTGAAGGATCAACAGGCTGAACAGGGAAGATGTATTTGAGTACAATGAAAGTTTTGGGTGAAGTTATTGGTATATTTTTAGATTTTCTGAATCTATAACATAATAAGAATGACTCACTGATAGTGTATTATATCACAAATTTAGACAGCACCTAATTTCTATGTATTATAAACTCAGAGTCTTTATAGGTGGGACCATTTTATTTTCTGACACACCAGAACTAAAGCTTTTCAAACAGTTCTTTCAAAGTTCCCACTTCCTCAACCTATTTGATATTTAGAAAGGCAAGTGCTCGGCGGAGCATTGAGGTACAAAATGGCCATACTCTCCATAATTTAAATACAGTTCTTACATGTCATCACAGCCAAGGTGGCGCAGTGGGTAGAGTGCAATACTGCAGGCCACTTCAGCTGACTGCTATCTGCAGTTCGGCGGTTCTAATCTCACCGGCTCAAGGTTGACTCAGCCTTCCATCCTTCCGAGGTGGGTGAAATGAGCACCCAGACTGTGGGGGTGATATGCTGACTCTGTAAACCGCTTAGAGAGGGCTGAAAGCCCTATGAAGCGGTATATAAGTCTAACTGCTATTGCTATTGCTATTAAAAGTGCTAGTGCAAACTATGTGGGTTCAACTTCCAAAATCTCTGAAATGGAGTGGGAGGGAGATGAGCAGGATCAAGAGATCTTTTTTCCTTTTCTGTTTATAGATACTGTAATTTAAGTCTTCCATCAATATAGATACTCCTCAACTTACAACCATAATTGAGCCCAAAATTTCTGTTGCTGAGACATTTGTTAAATCAATTTTGCCCCATTTTATGACCCTTCTTAACAGAGTTGTTAAGTGAATCACTGCAGTTATTAAGCTAGTGGCATGCTTCCCCACTGATTTGCTTGTCAGAAGGTTGCAAAAGGTGATCACATGACTCCAGGATACTACAACCATCATAAATAGAAGTCAGTTCCCAAGTGTCTGAATTTTGATGACCGTGGGGATGCTGCAATGGACAAAAGTGTGAAAATGTACTTCTTTCAGTGTCATTGTTACTTTGAATCATCACAAAATGAACTTTTATAAATCAAGGACTACCTGTCCTTAAGAAAGTTAAATTAAAATGACAAGATCTTTGGGATAGCCTGCTCCCAGAGTCCTGCATTTCTAGTCCAGAGTTCTGTCCTGTATTTCATCTGATAGTCCCACTTTAACTAACAATTATGGTGTTTTCATTCCAGCTTGCATACTGAGCTATCAACTGTAAGTCAACAGCACATACCTATATAAAGCTTGGCAATAAATTTTATACTTAACACTTTCTTATTTGACAGACGTAATGACTATAGTGTTCAAAAACTGATACAGTTGTCCAAGTCTGGGCAGTTCTGTATCAGGAGAGTTGCCTATATTGCAGCTTTCTCAGACATTAAATTGCTAATACTTCTTACACAAGATCAGTTGGATGAACTGGACATCCCATTTCATTAGATTCTACAGTACTCTGAGGATAGTCAAAGTTACTGCTTTGAATTAAGTTTTCTCTAAATACATCAATTTCTAGAATGCCCCAACTGGCTTTTACCTGAAATTGCCTTCAAGCCCTTGCTCAGCTTTGGGCCAATCACTGCTTCACAGGATCCTGGGAGAAAAATAGGACAAAGTGATGTAATTAAGAAGTGGAATACTTTCGTTAACGTCCTCTCCTCCCCCCCAGCCCCAAAAAAACCCCCACATCACAGAAAATCACCAGGTATTTCCAGACAGAGCCAACAGCTGCTCATCTTGATTTTTTCAATTCAAAACAGTACACTCCCTGGAAGAGGATTCGATTTTTATTATTTCTTAAAGCAGCCTGAATATACAGTAAAAGGCGTGTGGACAGTAGCAGTTCAAGTTAACTACAGGAAATCAACGCAGCAAATGGCCTTCCTCATCCTCTCCCTCCCCAGTGATTCGGGGGCGGGGGGGGGGAGGACATGCACCTGCTGGCATAATATCTCTTGAAATGATGAGTCTGGGGAAATGAGCTGGCAAAGGGAAGAGATGCCATTTTGGAAGCATATTATTCCCCAGACGGGGAGAAACTGGAGCTCGGGTCTCATTTCGCTCTCTCCAAATTACAAGCTCTTCATCCTCCCTCTCCCTCTCTCTCTCACCAGAACAGTTCACCTGTCCTTCTTCTTCCTCCTTCGGAGAGAAAGGAGCCCGAGATCCCCCACCTTCCGATGGCTGCTGAGCCGGCGGGGGTTTATTATTTAGGTGGCTCCTGACCAGCATGCGCAGCCCCGCCCTGCGGCGGTGGCGAAAACCGTAACCGCCGCCTCAGGAAGAACCTGTTTTTCCAGCCGCGGGGACCGAGGTTGAACCTGAGCAGGCCCTGGGCCAGAGCTTCTCCTGCGCGCAGCAGTTACCTCGTCCGCGGTTCTGCGGGGAAGATAAGCCGTGGCGAGCGTCCCGCTCCGGTGCCGGTGGCTCCTCCTCACCGGGGAGCCCTCATGGCGCTCGAACGCCCCTTGCCTTCCTCTGAGAGATCACAGTCGGGACGCCGCTTGCGACCTGTATAGTGCCGTCGCGTCGCTCGCTCGCTGGCCACCGCTGTGGCTCCAGGTGCTCCAGCGCGGCGAGCGTCACAAAGCCTCCGCCTGACAGGAGAACGGCCTTGAGCAGAGTGGGGCGGAGCTTCGGCCGCCGCTGCCACCACCACCAAAGGCCCTTCTACTTTTTGCCTTCGGGTGGCGAGCGGGGTCGAGGGACACGCTCCGCCCTGACTCAGGCGAGCGAGCTGGGCTTCCCTTCCTCCCGGCGCTCGGGGCTGCCTGGCGCGACCGGGCTTCCTGCTTTTGTTCTTTCTGTGCCCTCAGAGCAGCGGGCGGCGAGGTGACATTGACGCTTGGAACACCCCACAACCCCCGCCCTGCATAACCTTAAAAGATTAAAACAAAAAAAATGTTAAAGCTTTCTCAATAAGAGGACGGTGTTTTCCTTTCTTTGCCGTCGACCGTAGCAATAAGCAGGTGAAGTGCTTTCTATGATTGCCAATGAATTTACATTCAGCATCTGTTCCCGTGCTATTCCCCCCCCCCGCCCCATTCGCCCGTTAAAGCATAAGACTTTTGGCCATAGAAAAGGGTTTTTCTTCTTTTTCTGTAAGAAGTTGAATCGCGGCGTCAAAACGGGTTTTGTAATTCCGTTGTTTCTGGTTTGAGTTGTGGGGAGCGAGGAAGGAAGCGGAGTCCAGTAGTACGAGTAAAAGCAAGTTACGCAAAAGTTTGTCCTTTTATCTAAGCAATGCCTGTTTTTGAACCTTTCTTTTGAATGGCTTAAAACACAATTGTGTGTAATTGGAAGTATGTGAGTAGATTTGCTAGATTGCATTTTCCACTTCTGACTCATTTGTTGAGCTATAAAATATTGCTTTTTACCTTAATTTTATATCCTTTGCTATTGCTGGAAACACTTCCACGTTTTAGCATCACTTGGGATGACACAATCTTTGTTTATTTAGAATAGATGAACTTTCCTTACTTCATATACCATATGGTAATAACTAATCATACCAGCATTTTCCAAATTCCCAGTATTTCCGTTTTTGCACTTTTCTATCTTGTATTACATTAGTTCTGTACTCCTATTTCATTTTTTGTAGTTTTAATAAGTAATATATGTGTAACTAATATTAAAATTGTAGTTACTATGTTTTTGTTTGACCCTGAAACGAAATACAATTACACGTGTTTGTATTATAAAAATCTTAATTATGTACACTAAGGTTATTCCTTCTATCAAACTGGAATAACCTGTTAGCCCCTGTCATTTACTATAATATATACTTCCCTGTCCTGTACATGATTTTAAAAAAAAACCACACAATGTGACCATTTAAATTAACATCATGAAATTAGAACTCTTGTTTTGGAGAAAAATTAAAAGATCCTTAAGAGTTGATATTGACATGACACATAATCAGATTCAGAACTCAATCAAGATAATTACTTGAGTAATTCTGTATACTTTATATTCATATAAGCAATTTCCACATTTAATATTTTAATATCATTGTATCTTCTACATATAGGATGTGTCATTATCGCTTTGAATTAGCATATAACAGGGAATCACATTGGATTCCTTTATTCCTCAAAAATTCCTAAATACTTTATTCTTTCTGAATAGTAATGTAAACCTTAGGTAAAAATAATATATTTTTTAAATATTGTCCTTAGCAAATAACATATTGTCTTAATGGTATTTTTAAATTGCCAGTGAAAATAGAATTTAAAATACAGTTATTGATCTAATGGGCTGATTCTGATATAACAATATGGTTTTTGTACATAATTCAGGACCATTTTCCCTTCTATTCCTGTTTGCTTCAAGGAAAGCTAAAAATGGCCTGAAAACTGTTTTCATTGAACTACCGAATCAATGGTATATGTAAAAATAAGTCACTATCATCAAGCATTAGCAGGAAAAGTGAGTATATTTTGTTCTGATAATTGAACTGTCGCCTAAGATTACATGGCATTTCTTCTGAATTGTTCCTTCCCTGATAATAGTATTTTGGTAGCAAGGAAACATGAATATTACTTTTAGTTTTATTTGCTTTTTATATTTATAGATCATAAAGATTGCCCCAGCCCAGCTCCACTGCACATGTGTGCACGCCTCCTGGCGACCAGCTGGTCTTCGGGCTCTGCTGCACATGTGTGGGTGGGTGGAGGTGAATGTGCGGGAGGGGGCTACTCTCTGCATTTTGGGGGTTCATGTGTGTGCACGCCCCCCCCCTGCACTTTTTTGGGATTTGGGAGGTCTCCTGCACTAACCTGGAAGCCAAAAATGGGCAAGAGGTGGGACGTATGCATGGGGGATGGGGCGTCTGCCTGGAGGGGCACTCGCATTGCATTTTGAGGTTGTGTGAGTGTGCACATTTGGCACTCAGCACCAAAAAGATTAGCTCCCACTGTTCTAGGGTAAGAAAAGGGAGAGTAATAGAATGCTTCAACTTCCAAAAGACTGAAAGAAAAATGTTATATAAAAGAACAATTTTAAAAACCCATTTAAAAATAATTACAATTTAATTAACTTTACAATCACTTACTTCTTTTTCCTAGACATAGCCTTTTTGAGAGGTGAGGCAATCTGAATCAATGACACGACATGTCATTGAAAATGTATCTGTGGCCTTTATTCACTCTCCCTGCCCCCCCCCAACCCGGCTGTTTGTGTGTGTGTGTGTGTGTGTGTGTGTGTGTGTGTGTATTTACATATAGCTGCCTATAATCAAACTGGTTTGTCCTAGTTCTGAGGCCAGTTCCAAAAGTAATATTTTAAGAATAATATCAGGGTAATGAAACAGTAGAGTTACACTTGGATTAAAAGTGGAAAGTAGGTGAGTTTATTGTAAATTTTAGTATAATAGCATTTCTAAATAACTTAACTTAAAACAATACATGACATACCAGACACTATCAAATACTCTTATAGTATAAGCTATTATCACTATGTTCTGATAGTGTATCATTTGAAATGCTCTAGTCAAACAAGATAGCCCATTTAGGTTACTTCTCATGCACCAATTTATTTAAGTATTACAATTAAAAAAATAACTAGCAATACAATGGCTAAATTGGTGTTAGCCCCATAGTGGGTAGAATTGTGGGTTATATCCGCCTTTCCCTTTCTCATGTTTCATACCTTTATGCATTGGGGAGTGGCAATTGTCAAAAATATCAATCTTAGTTTCATCTGTCTAGTGGCAATAAAAAAGCAACAAAAACATATTAACCATCTTATGGTTGTTTAACATATATTAACAGAGAAAGTTAATTTTGCTCTGTTTATCATTGATTGGTTATAGCTGTTCACACAATAGCAATAGCTCTTCAACTTATATACCGCTTCACAGTGCTTTACAGCCTTCTCTAACTGGTTTACAGAGTCAGCATATTACCCCCAACAATCTGGGTCTTCATTTTACCGACCTTGCAAAGATGGACGTCTGAGTCAACCTTGAGGCTTGTGAGATTTGAACTGCTGGCAGCCGGCAGTTGAAGCCTGCAGTACATTGGATTTTTCTTGTTTCTGCATGCAGCTAATACTTCCCAAGATTTGTTTCAAGATTTCCCCTAAGCCTTAAAATATACACTTACCTCTCATTTCTGTAACTGACATCAATTGCACTTTTTGACATTTCTCAATAGAGTGTAAAAAGTGTTTTATCTTCTCAAGAAATTTACCATCAATGTAATTCACTTCTAAGGCATCTAGGTAAAATAAACTGATTCTATAAGAAAATTACTAAGCATGCTTGAAAATAGATATAATAAACGTATCTGAAATTCTTCAACACTTTCTCTGCAATTTTTTGTGCCTTCCAAAATACTATAGTACCATTGCCTTTACATGTCTAACAATAAAGTTCAAACTTGGTAATTTTTTTCATTCTGAATTTGTCTTCTCTTTTATTTGAAATATATAATTGGTATCTTTTAATAGGAAATTTGCGTTAGAAGCAGCATAGAGAATTAGGAATTATTCTAATAAATTAATGCTAGTAACTTACTATATATATCCATATATTATATGTACAGGTACTGTAGTTCTCACAACCATTTGAAGTTTCTTGTGATGGTCCTTTTTCATATATAGTATCCCTATGGCCCTGTGATCAAAATTTAGGCACTTGGCAACTGGCAATGAAGTGTCCTAGAGAGTCATGGGATTGCCCTTTGCGATCTTCTCAGCCAGCTTCTCACAAGCAAAGTCAACAGGAAGCCTGATTTGCTTTATAGCTATGCGATTTAATTAACAACAGAAGTGATTTGTTAAAACTGGCAAAAAAAATCATATGGTTGGGCATGACTCAATCATTTTGCTTAGTTAATACTTTGCCTTCAACTGAAATTTTTATCCCAATTTTGGACATAAGTTCATTGCCACTTATAATATAACATTAGTAATCTGTATATTGCATAAAACTGTTTGGTGAAATGAAGAAGTATATATGTAGTTTAAAAAACCTAATTATGTTAGTCTGTGGAAGAAATTATACTGCAAAATTCTAGGCATGTGTGCTGTGGTTCTCTCCCTTCTTGAGTCTTTTACTCTCCCCCCCCCCGCCCCCGCACAGCAAAATTATCAATAAAGCTACAACCTTGAAACAGGTGAGAGAGGACTTTGGTGCCACCAGAAAACAAGATACAGTACATAATAAAAGGTATTTTTCCTTCAGAAGTTTCAGATGGTCCAAAAGACAAGAAAATAAAGCACAGTGGCCCAGGAGGACAAAGAATAATATTTAAAAAATGCAAGAGCTCCACATGCTGACCATTAACAGGAAAAAGAAGAGAGGGATGGGGACTTAAGACAGAACAGAGTTAAGAAAGAAATGTTGATGCTTAGTTGGAATAATGTATGGTAGTGATTTTTGTTTGTTTAATAGTGTCCAGTTCTAGGAGATACCTTGATTCTTGCAGAATATTGAAATAGGAAGTGAGTACAATTTTGGAACACTCAGAAATTATGTTTTTACTAACTAAACATTTCTCCAACAAACATAATCTCCCTTAAAAGGAGATATAAAGATACACACTTGTAGAGGGACCTATGCTTTTGTCTCTTAAATCTCATTTAATCTAGAATCCATGAGAGGGTCAAATGAGCATCTTTTGCCAAATATTAATTACTTGAAACATAGTGGAAGTTTCTTTAGAAGGTGCTGACAAAGCACCAATAACATAGATTCTATCAATAAATTCAAACCAAGTTAAAAGTTACTGTTTCCATGTGGTCTCTTCTGTAGAGATGTGCTGTACAGAGGACATGAAATTATTGATTTAATTATAATCCATATACTCATTTTACAAAAAGATTTATCATTTTTCAAACATAATTATATTAAGCACCTGGTCTCTTCGTCTTAGTTGTTAACTGACTCATGATTTTATCAGAATCACTTGACAGTGAACTTAATACAATATAAATAAGTTTTAGTCCATTCTTACTTAATCCTTATGTAATTACATATTTCTTTTAAGAACACTAGATTTTATCTTTAATGCACAGCTGGCTGAATATGATCATTTATATTGATAACTATTTTTTCTCCATCTTACAGCCCAGATCAGATGAGCTAATATTTTTCTTTTTGAATGTATTAATTCCTTTAGGCTTTATAAGTGATAATCAGCACCTTGAATTCCATTGAGAAGCCTATTAGGAGCCAGTGCAATTAGCAGACTAGAGGTGAGTATATTGAGGCATGTCCATAATTACCATGCCTCTGCATTCTAGTCCACTTGCAGCTTCCAGATTGTCTTTATGGAAAGCCCCATGTAGAGACATTGTGATAGTATAACCGACATGACTGATTGACCATGAGCAATTCTTCCAGGTGCAGGTAAAAGTACATTTGTATAGAATTATACAAAAGTCCTCCTGGCCATGATTGTCTCCTGCTCTTCAAGCAGAAACTGTGAATCAAAAAGAACTCTCAGTTGCACAGAATAAGAAAGTGCAACACATACAAAAGATGGAAGTATTCCAGTTCTGGGATAAGGAGACCCACAATCATTTAGATTTGTCAAGACTGAATCAAAACCTTTTTGTTTAAAAAATTATGCCAAATCACAGTAGCCTCCAGACACTGGAATAGAATGTTTACAACATTGCTTGGATGTGATGATACGGGTGAAATTCGACTGGTTTGAACCGGTTCAGGCGAACCGGTAGGGACAATTTCAATTGGTTCGCTGGACTGATAAAAACCACCCCTGGTTGGCCTTCAGGTTGCTCACTCGCCCCTTCCTGCCATTTGCTCTGCCTAACCACTCCCACTCTATATATGTTGCCTTCACCACGTGGCCTTGTTAATTGTCTCGCCAGTCGCCTTGCGCACTCAGCTCAACAAAGGTAAGCAATGCATGCTGCCCTCTCATCCTTTGCCTTGAGTCAGGGATCAAGACCAAGGGACGCGCCATTCCCCGAGCCGCCACCCACTTTGACCGGGTTGGAGAATGCACCAATGTGAGCCAATTATTCTTTAAGTCAACTTGTTAAATATTAGACTTCTAAAGTTCATAAGTATTAATAATTGTGTTGCAAATAGATGATTGCTTTTGTTTGGGTTTGGTTTGGGCGTGAGTTTTAGTATTTTAAAAGCCATTTTTCTAAAGAGTTTGTTTATCAATGTGGTAGCAGTCACTAAATAACTCACACTTACTTTATTATCTTTGACATGCTTAACTGTTTCATTTTTTGGAAACCAAATAACAAGAATATATTCTCAGATTGCAAATTTTCCTACTAAAATTTATATGTAACCCTGGAAGTCAATATGGTGGAGCTTTCATGGACATTTGTAGACATGCACAAAGTGGTGAATTTGAGAAGGGTGACACATTCCCAGCTGAAAGTCGAACAAAATTATGTTCTACCTTCTTGTTTTAGTTTTCCTCCTATGAACAAGCATTCTGTATTTCCCCGAGGAACAATGTTTCACTATTCGTTAATTCAATGTTTACAGCTATTTTAGAGAAATGACTAGATCAAATCTGAGAGTCAATTGGATTTCAAATTACAAGTGACCCAATTAATTTAATAACTGTACCCCAATAGCAGAGTTTATATTTACATTTTTGGTTAATTGTAGAACTATTAATTTCATCTATTTTTGTATGAATTTCATAAAAATGTTTATGTTCTAAATAGGAAAATAAAATGTGAAGCATTAGGAGTCTAAGTCCAAAGCACACTTCTCCATTTTTTAGTCTGGAAATATTACTAGGAAATAATAGATATTAAAAATAACAGATTTATAAAACAATGTTTGTATATATTGTAAGTTGTTTTCCACTTTTTAAAATAATATGCACATTTATTTTAACTAGTTAAAAGAATATGATTAATCAAAAATTTTAAGTAGGCTGGCAACCACAATATCTATGTGGCCATGAATTATGACTAATTGTCTTATTTGGTAAAAATACCCTTTTACTTCTTTCCCTAGACAGAAAGTTATTTGGTGGGTTGCTAAGTATCAATTTGGAAGTCTCTTATCTGCTGACAGCTGCACTCTCTAGATGTCAAGGAATAGTACTTGCTTAAAGAAGAAAAAATGATGGTTTGTCTTCTAAAAAACTATCAATTGGTATAGAAAATAGTCTTTGTAAATCCATTTCTAAGTACAAGTATTGCTTGCTATCCTGCACACCTTTACTGAATTGGGAAAAGTGGCTGCAATTTTATCTGACTCTGGTAAAATTGTCATTTCTTCAAAATGTGTATCAATCTGCTACGTATTTCCAAGGGCAATTTCTGTCTTTTAAAGTGCAGAGATCACCTGGCACAAAAGAATCTGAACTCTAATAGGGGTTGTCTTGTGCATCATGTAGAATATTTATTACTGTCTCCTCTTGTGACTTGGATTTTTCTCATTTTCTATTTCTCTGGACTTAAAAAAGAGGACAGATGATCTTTTTTGATTAGATTTCAGAAAGCTATATTTACTACTCTGTGTGGGATACATGGCATCATACAAAGTATTCCTGTGTATTATATTTAATTCAAGAACATTTAAAGAGATGGAGAGAGAATTATGTGTCACTTCTCTACACATTTCAGATAAATAATGCATAACAGAAGATTTTAAACTAGTGGCATGTAAACTTCTTTGTCCTCAGGCAACATTTTCCCCTTGAATCATATGCCAAGGCCCACATCCTAAGAAGTAGTAGAGTGAGGATACAAATTAAATTTGATTTAATAGCATTTAATTATAGGTTATCTGCCAGAGATTTTAATATGTTTCAATTAGTGGCCAACTTCTGGAATTAAGAGTTCTTACGATGTTCTGAAGGTGAAGTGAAGGAGTCCATAGAGGAAGAAAATGAGAACATAGAAATTTTCTTAGCTTTACTGTTAATTTATGGATCTCTGCCCACCAGAAAAACCAACTTCTTCTCTTCTGTGGCTTGAGGAACTTCAGTTATTTGCTTATTTCTCACATTTACATGACATTTCACAAAAAGTGACTGCACAGTATAGGTTGCTTTAGATTCTATTTTTGAACTTTCAAAAAATCAAAATTCCCTTGTTATTATCACAATACCAATAATCAATCTGGGAGAATCTGTAAAAAACATAGCTTTTGTAACAAATACAGGTAGAAAAGGCAGATTTTTTGTAATTTAGCTAACAAACCACAGCTGTATTTGCATATGTGCTACGCCGTGTTTTAAATACGATTTGTAGAAAAAAAACCACAATAACTGGATTCATACCACACGAAAAATAAAAAGTGAAGAATTGCTTTATAAATAGGGTGACTGTTATATATAGAGAGGGCGAAAATTGCATTATGCTCAGTGCAAGAACTATACCATTTCTAAGTCAATGCATTCAACATAAATCTGCTGTACTTGTTTCTACATTACAAATTTGTTCTCCATTCATAGATTTCCAATAATCTGTGTTTCAGGATTTGTTTATTAAGTCTTCTAGGAAATGGATGCCAACCAGTAGTTGATTCTAAACAACAGTCATTAAGACATTTTTTCCTTAATTATAGTTTTGTACAACTGTCTAAGTCTAAAAATAACTTGATTTGAGCTATGGTGTGAATGCAGCCTATATGCAACAAATAGCATAGGCTTAATTTTTATCTATTAGTTTCAGATACTATGTGAACACAATTTCCTGTATTGCTTTCTGGTTCGGATATCTGAGGATTTGGGATAACCAATCATTTTTAAAAGTAAAAACTTACACTGTTTCTCAGTATTGAGATTGGCATGAAACATGAAACTCAAGAAAAATGCCTGATTTGAACTGAATGTTTATTATAACATTTTCTTGCAGACATAATGTACATAATGGCATGGGTCCAGGTTACATGAGGAACTGTCTCACCCAGGAAGTCTTAATGACTGTTGGCCCACTCCACCTCCGCCAGCAGAGAGGGCATATGTGGATCCCATTGATCAAGAAATTGTGACTGGCAGTGTCTAGGAGAAGAGCCTTCTCTGACGTGGCTCTTGCATTTTGGAACATCTTACCAGCTCAGGTGAGATTGGCTCCCACCCTCCTGACTTTTTGTAAGAGCTTTAAAGCCTGGTTCTCCCAGATGACATGGGAACCCAATGCGGGAGTCTGACTAATTAAAAGCTAATCTCCCCCCCCGAATATATCTGGCTCCAGGGGTGGGTTGCTTCCAATGTTTCTACCAGTTCGTTTTCTGCATGCTTTGAGCACGTGCTGCTTGCTTCACTCATGCGCACGCCTGGTTCGCTGCAGTGACGTGCGGTCAGCTTTAGCCCTGGTGAGGCACTTTTTAGACTTGTGGACTTCAACTGCCAGAATTCTACAGGCAGGCATGCTCAGTTCCGATTTAAAGCGACAGCATTTTTCCCCCTTGCAAAATAAGTTTTCCCATTCTTTTTCTTCTCCCTCCTTCCTCCCTCTCTCCTTCCCCCCTCTCTCAAACAGACACACGCACACAGAGAACTTTGATCCCTCTCTCATTCACTCACCCTCAAACACAAACACAGAAGTTGAATTGGATATATTTTCCAAAGGCTTGAAAGCAGCTCCTCCACCATATCCCCCCTTCCCCTGCTGATCCCCTTCCGTTCAAACTTTTTGAATTCCTCCCCCCTCCCCACACACGGACCTTTTCCAGCTGTTTCAGAGACGATTTCAACTCTGCTTCTCCCTGCCCTCCCCTCTTGAAAAGCCAGAGCTCTGTCAGACTGAGCTAGTTGCTCCCAGAGAACTCTAAAAAGCCTCTAAAAATGCCCTCTACAGGAGGCGAGAGAATACGTGCCTCATTTGCATAAGGAATTCTTTGCTTGTTAACCCTTGCTTAACTCTTAAAAGGCGAAAAATTCCTTATGCAAAAGAGGCCCCTAGTTCTCTGGCCTCCTTCTAGTTAATACTGAGAGCAGACACCAAGCCACTGTGACTTGAAATCTGGTAGCAACTACCCTGGCTTTAATTATTTTAAGAAAATTATTTACCTTTCCCTGAGGAGACTGGTGAGGCCCCGCCTTCCTTGCCTCTAGTGACTGCACGTCCCTGGTTCGCTGGTAGCAACCCACTCTGTCTGGCTCCCTTCTTTTCCATCTAGTGTTAATGCTTTTATTTTGTATTCTGAGACACATAAACTGAAATGTGGCTGTTTATTTTCAAAACTGCAGCAGCTGACAATATCTAAGTCTCTTTTTCTGTTAATAGGTTACATAGGTTTGGGATTGGTTAATATTAATTTATTAATAATATTAATAATACAACCAGGATATTGTAAACTAGTCTAGAAAGTTGAACAACATTCCAGAAGAAGCAATTCAATCTGCTTAAAAACAATTGCAAGGAAGTCAGAGTTGAGGTCTACTCAAAGGCAACTTTTCCTTTAATTTATCAAAGTTATTACCTGTATTTTATTTTCTATGTCCTTCTAGAAATAATGCCAAAGAGACAAAAAAAACCCCACTAAGCATCAGTGAGTAAGAAATGCTGAAGTGTATAATTGTTATATGAAGAAACAACTATAGTTTTAGAGAGCATTTAGACCATAATAATGCAATCTGCAATGTTTGTAAAATATTTTCATTTTTCTAGGTTTCTTCAATTTAATAATTACTTTTTGCATTTCTTTACTGATTGTTTTTATATCTTTGTTGCTTTATTGATTGTGGTATATTGTCCAGAGTTATTTTTTCAGACATGGGCAATCATATAAATAACAAATAAAATAATTGGCTGAAAGTTTGAAATAACTTACAACCCAAGTAGCTATCAAAAGCACCATATATTATTATTTTGAATCCATAATCTTGCACTGTAATTTCAATAAGTAGAATATATACAGCAACATCAGGAAATGAAGAATGTTGCTAGATTTATAGGTTCATGTTGTTGTATTATTCCTCAGTATCTAAAAATGGTGGCATCCTCTGTTTAAAGAAGTTTAGAATTCTGTTTGGTTGAGCAAAACTTCCTTAGACCGGGCTGTCCAACCATGGCAATTTTAAGACTTCTGTACTTCAACTAGGAGTGAAATACTATTGGTTTGGAGCGGTTTGCCCAAACCAGTAGTAAAAAATGCTACCAGTTTGTCCGAACCGGTAGCTCCAATGATCAGCTGTGCAATAATCAGCTGTGCCACTCAATTTCTAATTGCACTGCACAGCTGATTGTCATACAGCTGATCATCGGAACTACCGCTTTGCCTGAACCAGTAGCATTTTTTATTATCGGTTCAGACCAACGATGCACACAGGAAGCAAACCAGTAGCAGACTTAAGAGCATTTCACCCCCGACTTCGACTCCCCAACTGAGTTCAAGTCTACAAATCTTAAAATTGCCAAAGCAGAAGACTCCTGCTTTAAGATTGATGTAGTGGCTGTTTTAGATAGCAGACACTGAAAGCAGGAGGAAAAACCTGTAGAGTTTTGGGATTGCTATAATCATTACAGGTAGTCCTCAACCTATGACCACAAGTGAGCCCAAAATTTCTGTTGCTAACTAAGACAGATGTTGAGTGCCTTTTGCCCAACTTTATGACCTTTCTTGCCACAGTTGTTAAGTGAATCACTACCGTTGGTAAGTTAATAACCCAGTTGTTAAATGAATCTGGTTTCCCCATTGACTTTGCTTGTCAGAAGGTTACAAAAGGTGATAACATGACCTTGGGATACAACAACGATCATAAATATGAATTTGCCAAGAATGTGAATTTTGATCACATGATCATGGGGATGCTGCAAAGGTCGTAACAATGAAAAACGGTCATATCACATTTTTCAGTGCCATTGTAACTTTGAACGGTCACTAAATGAACAGTTGTAAGTCAAGGACTTACTTGATCCAAATTTTAAATTCTTCTGGATTCATTTTATTTAAAATTTGTGTAAGAAAGGCCACTCCAAATTGTGAAAAGATTTTTCTGCATCTAGGAATATTACTGCCACTTTTTTATTATGTTTGATTCATTTTATTGCATTTATCATAAAACTGCTGTTTTCATTCATCTTCCTCTTGAGAATGTAATCTCAACAACAGTAGATTATCCAAATTCAATTTATTCTTAATGATTAAAAATTATGCAATATTATTTCCCAATTTCATGAATTCCTGTTTAATTCTTTATCTGGAACCATCAGATAAAGAATTAAACCTATTGAAAATATTTGTACTAAGAACATGACTTCATGGTTGTATTACTTATTTCCACTGGAGTGCTTGTAACAGGCTATATAAAAAGAAATATAGTCTATAAATACTATAATCTAGATTTCATTTGGAATAAAGTATATGGGCATCATATTTCCTTCTGTTTCTATCTGTTCTTGTATTTATGGCTATTCGCTTACATCAATGAAAAGTGGGTACAGTTTATATTTTATGCAGCCCAATCCCGTTAAGCTCAATACAATGTATGTCTTATTTTTTTGGAAACGTTCATGAAGCTACTATAACTAAAATAATGACCTATTATTTTAGGCATAGTAGCTTCATAAATGTTTCCATATAAATAATTATACATTATCAGCTTGCAGGTTGGCTGAATTTCATTATGTAATGTGCATGTATATAAGTACATACATATATGCATACATACATACATACATACATACATACATACATACATACATACATACATTGATTCATCAACAGTAGTAGAAGCTTAAACATGTCCTTTTGCATTTGGTAGAATCTTAATCCTTGTATGTTTTAAATTAGTTTGTGTAACATAAAATTCAACTCAGGAGGCTCTCTGTGATTGAAAAGGAATTAATCTCAAAGCCTGTAAAATGCAATTTGTATGCAGCAACAGTGACATCTGGTGGCTCTTTGTACATACTACAATTTGCAGGATACACAAAATATTTTAACCCATTATAGAAATTCTATTGGCAGTTCTGTATGAGTACTGTGCACCAGTTCAAAAGCAGTTTTTGATCTCTACACTCCCATGGTGTCCACTGATTTTGACAGCCAAGCCAATTTATTTTGAGGTAAATTACAATGCAACCCAAATAAAAGTTCCAGTTTCGCAGTCATGTAGCTCTGGAAAGCTTAGAGGCAGTTCATTTGCTCAATGAAGGGGAGGCGCAATCCCATTCTTTTGCTGGCTCCTTGGAGCTCCTTAATCAGGTTCCTTAAAGGGAATAGCGTAAAAGCAGAAATAGGAGAATTCCAAGGACTTGATCTAATGGGCTTGGAGTTAAGTGGCATTTAGAGGACCACAGATTCCCAACTCAATATTAAATGAAGGCTATTAAAGTATTTTCACTATTGACAGGTAGTATATAGACAGATTGGATGGATACGTTAATTCCAGTTAATATAATAATGTCTTGGGTCCTGTATCAAAAAGCATCACAAAACATTGAAATGAATATAATATTTTCTTTAGGAAAAGCTCTACATGATGTAATATAAAGAATTTCTGCCCCAAAAATCAAGTTTAAACAATTGCAGAGTTTGTTTCTTGAGCTGCTGCTGAGCACTTAGGCAGGACCTCCACCAACTGCTTTGTTTTTTCCCCCAGTTTTGTTCTGCTACTCCTTCCATATTAGCAATTGCCATTCATAATTTGAATCATGAATGTTCACTAATCATAATTCTGCATCATGAATTAGTTTGTAGCCTTACACTGAAGTGTATAATTCCCCAAGTACATCATTATTTCATGCCATAGCTGGTATGGAAAGATGTGCATTGACTTTGCAATGCTTAATACTGCAAATATTAATATATTGTGCAAATAATGCAAATGTCAAAGAAAGCATATATAGTGGTCATTGATATAAATAGAATATCAATAAAATATTCTTATACCAAAGTGATGGACAGTGGGCTCTTTATCAGAAGGGTGGAATTCTCTGAATATATTAACCTTATTTTTTTTTAAAAGGATGCATAATACCAGTAATTTTAATATAGCAAAGGTATTAAAGGATACTTTCCAACATCTATCGAATCCTCATTAGTGTGATGTCAATTATTGCTGAAAAAATGGAGCAACAGCAGATATCAGAATTTGTCTGCTGGGTACCATGTTCCATGTAGTGGAAGTAAAATTACAATCTGGAAGATAAGGCTCTCATTTTGCTACAAAAAGTGGATATTTTTGTGTTTCACAGCCACGAATGCAATTGGCTTTTCAACTTGCATTAGTTAATAGAATTTTGTCCTCCAATTCTCTGAAGAGTTTTCCTCCCTCAACATCTTTACTGACTTCTCACAGAAAAGGAGCAATTGCCTCAAAGATATTTGAAAGGAAAGCATATATTAAGCTACATATAGGACCCAAAAGATCATTAGTTGACTTTGCTTTGTTTCTAGTGCAAAAATGTGGAATTAAGGGCCCACGGGAATACTGTAGGCCTGAGTTCATCAAAACTCATTCCGGTTAGAAGCTCCCTTGGCATTTGAGCTCAAGCAATTAGTATTATGAGCTTTGATTAAACTGGTTCACTGCTGCATTCATCATTAACCATTCAGGGTAAATAATTACAAACTTTTTCAATGGTCTCAGAACTATCACTCTTCATTACATTTTATATTATTAGAAAAGAGCACAAGATAACTTAAAGCTGTCCTATTTGGGTTGCAAAAACTGGATAAACATGAGATGGCAGATATATTTGCTCCCATCTCATGGTCGTCAACATTTTTGCAGTTCAGGGCCATAGTTAAGCCCTCGCCTTCACCTTTGCCTTCCCCTTCCTTCTAAAAGAAAAAAGTCTTACTCCAGACAGGGCACCAAAGACAAGTAGAAAACCAAGAGCTTTCTAAATCATAGCTCATTACTTTATCACCAGACTTACTTATGTTTCCCTGAACAACTTTTCTTCCATGTAATTGGCCACAAATATACTTCTTCCAAGTGATTTGGCAAAACCTCTCCCTAGGAAAGTTTGTTCTAATTTGTTTTAAAACAAATATCATTACATAATAAATATAATCTAAATGCAAAAGGCAATAGAAATTTTCCTTACAGAGAAAGTAATCATGTGCAATCATAAAATATGACCAAAACCTTAAAATTTAAAAATTTATGTATTATTTTACAGCTGTACAATAATTTTCCTTGTATTATTGTTGCATCTCTTCCTGGCTGGGTTCGGTTAGTTTTTTTTGCAATTAAGTCAAAGATGAACATCCTTTGCTAGTACTTTACTGTTTTTTATATTTGCTTCTGATAACATTTTGGTGGCAATTTATTGATAGTTTTCAACTTATGACCATAGTTGAACCCAAAATTCCATCCAAAGTTCTATATATGTATATCAATGTCATCAAGAACCATCTATGACCAATATTCAGAATATAGCTTACAATATTAAAGCTAGTTACTAGCTGTAAACCAAAAAACTGTTCTACTCTTGCCTTACATATGAAATCGAGCTAGGAGACTGGGCATCACTTCAAAGGGTTGTTGTGAGGAAAATAGCAGAAAGAAGGAGCATTGGATATGTTAAGTTATTTGTAAACATAATAAAAGCAGAATAAAAAAGTGGGTATGGCTAGCATGAATTACTCTGCATCATCTCACACATTCATTTTGTCAAGATAGCATTTTAGGGCGAACCAATAAAAAAGCATTATAAAATATCCTGGACTTTAACTAATAATCCAATTTACAGTACCATAGAAGTATATTCTATAAAAAAATTTTCAGAAGCTTTCTAAAATCCCAGATCATTTATTATGTGTAAGGATGGCTGAAAAATTAAAACTTGGTTCTACAAAATAAGATGTTAATTGCTATATTTTGGAATGTCACACCCAATTAAAAAAAACAACAACAGCCCAGTAGTTTAGTTGTGTGAAAACTTTGACTAATTTTAACAAGATCGTTTTTCAAATGTTGAAAAAGTATATAAGAACATATTTGAGATCATTGTCTGTAACAGCCAAGACATATAGTAGTCAAATGGCAACATCACTTCTAAAAACACATTGCACTTTCCTTTGAATGAAAGTGATTGGAAGAGCATCATTCATCAAATTCTGATTAAAGATAGATATGGCAGGGAATAGCAAAATAAAATTTCATCTCAAGCTAGAATCATTGGTAGGTACAACATACATGATTATTAAAGAATTGACTAATCAGTGCTCACCCTGGCTTTTTTTCATGCCATTTCCATAATTTTAGAATAGATGAATAAAAATATATGAATTTTAGAATATATGATAGAATACAATTCATAATATTATTTCTTTCAATCCCACCTGTCTGCCTTGATTATTTTGATAGTATTTTTACAACTGTAAATTAATGATAGACAAATTCACAGATTTGATTCAGATGGGCTCCCATAAATTGAACTATTTTTTCCCCAAAACTGGGAAATATCTTAATTCTAAACAAAACCTAATAAAAGCTCCCAATTGGGAAAAATACATTTTATAAGCCCCACCTGCTGGCCCGGATCAGAAAATTAACTCTACAGAAAAGCTTATTTTGCTGAGAGTGACTATAAAAACAGAATCTTGCAAATGTAAGATTGATTGTTCTACCTCTTTCCTCTTTTTCTGTGAATCAGAGGTATCTGGTTGAGTCTTTTCAAAGTATTTTTTCTGTTATAGACTGAATATATTTGTTCTCTTATAACCTGTATTTTCCTATTCACTTAACACTTGGTATATTTCATTAATATATGGCCATTAATATCCAACCAGATGGTGGATAGATACAGAGAAAATCACCATATTTTCCCAAGCTTATTATATCTGAACCAGGAAACCAAGACTCTGCTATGATGCCTCTTCTAACAGTTACTCTCAGATGATTTCATAGTCTAAATAAAGTATGCCTAGTTTTTTGCTTGGTTACTTAGAGTTACTTAGGTTTTTCTCCACTACAATCCTCCTCTGAAAAGCATAATTCATGTATATGTAGTTTTTATATATCTATATCTATATTACATTTATATTTTATATTTATATTGCGTGTATGCATGTGTTTATATGTATATGTATGTGTTTGTGTGTGCATGTGTTTATAATTCTATTCCATTCCATTCTAGCAGGTACCTGGAGGAACTTTCACTGCTTTTAGAAGCTTGCTTAACTAGGAAAACTACCAAGGAACATGAGGACTGTAGGCTATACTGGGAACCTAGACAACAGATCAGAAAGCTGTGGCAAACCAGGAAAAATGCATCTTTGTGTCCTTTTAGTAGCCATGAAAATGTGTCTTTTTAAAAAAATACATATGAATATGTATATGTCTATATATCTTTGTTGCCAACAATGGAATGTACACATGCATAACTAATACAATGTATATTTTAAAAGTTTATTTGACACAGAGGAAAAAGAGGAATGAAAGTTATATCTCAGGTGGGCAGAAGAAATTTCTTATTGCTGCCAAAGATTTGTATTTATAAATTATAACTGCCCTCCATATTTTCTGTTATTCGTATGTATACATATTGAATACATATTCATATATATTTAAGCATGCATAAAGATTGCTTATATTCATTCCCAAGCCAGCAAAACCAAAATGAAGAAGGGATTTAGTTTTCTGGGCCACAAGAAATATCCCCGAAGAGCAGCAAGCTCCATATTTGATGACTGCTAAAATAGTTGGTAATTCAGTTGTGTTGAACACCATCAGTTTGTTCAGATGTTTCCTACATCATATCATTTTACATTTTGCATATCCATTTGACTAATGTATTGTTATTAATATTTTTCTATAAAAGTAAAATATATTAAACTTGGAGCTTTTGTTACTCCATATTATTTAGCTCTAAAAGATCAAATTTTATTTTTGTCTGTCTGCATTTAAATAATATATCTTTAATGTCTACTTAACCTTCTGTTAACCTGTTCCATTAAAATTCTTCAGACACACTGTAGTGATGCTCATAATCTCTAGTTCATTATCTTAATTAGATCTATCCTATATTGTCCCACTCTTCATTCTCATTAGTTTAAAGGTGATCAGCCTTCAAAAGGCGGGTGGACGGAATTCACTATTGTGGCCATCTAGCATTCACCTTCTTTTGAATCTTTCAGGTGTAATAATGATGCCACTACCTGATAGATTTAATTAAAAGTTGCTTTCAAATGATGTGAAGAGTCATTTTGGAAAATGAAGACAAAATTAATTCATGGATGTAAAATGCCTACACTATAATGGATCTGAATTGAACTGGATTCCTTATTAAAATGTAAATGACACATTAAAAGTGGCATGAAAATTAATGTCCCTGATCCAAGAAGCACTTTTAAAAACCTTTTCTAGACCAAGAATATTTATTCAAGTAGGAATACTAACAATAGTGTCTAAGTATTATTGTTTCAGAATTCCATTTTAAAAAGTCCTTCCTTCGAAGAATTTACCAGATTCTACTGACTTTAAACAAATCTCGATGTACCATCACTTATCTATTGGAACATTTTAGTTTGTATCTCCAGCACCAACTTTTCATACAACACTTCCATTCTTGCCAAAAGAGAACAGGACCCTTTAATTTACTACATCTAAAGTCTTTTTTCCACCTATATAAGTTCATTTTCATATACCGTATATACTCGAGTATAGGCCGACCCGAATATAAGCCGAGGCACCTAATTTTACCACAAAAAACTGGAAAAGTTATTGACTCGAGTATAAGCCTAGGGTGGGAAATGCAGCAGCTACCGGTAAATTTCAAAAATAAAAATAGATACCAATAATGTTTTTGAATATTTATTTCAAAGAAAAACAGTAAACTAGCGGTGTATTCAATGAAATACTTCACTCACCTCATGATGCTGATGTCCCACTGTGATGATGATGTCCCGTGCAGCCGCGGGAGCGATGTCCCGCCTCCTATGACACACGGCACAGTGATTCCTATCATTGGATCACTGTACCAGAGGAGGTGGGACATTGCTATGTGGCTGCTTGCCATAACGAGGAGGTGGGACATCGTTGCAGAGCGGCAGGAGGGGGAGGAAGGGGAATCGTAAGACAGCCCTGCATTACATTAGAACGTGAGGAGGGGGGATGGTGCGGTGCGCGCTGCGCGGCAAACTGACACAGAGGGAGGGGAAACTCACAGGGGCACTGGGCCATTCACGAGTGTCACCCAGCGGCATGGCCCCGCCCCTTTTTCTCCTCCATTTCGGGCAAATTTTTCACTGACTCGAGTATAAGCCGAGGCGGCTTTTTTTCAGCCCAAAAAGTGGGCTGAAAAACTAGGCTTATACTCGAGTATATACAGTAATCTCAAACAAGAAAATTTGAACACTATGGAAAGTGGGTGGGTCTGTCTGTCTGTCTGTCTGTCTGTCTCTCTCTCTCTCTCTCTCTCTCCCTCCCTCCCTCCCTCCACATCTAATGTGTTGATTCTGGGAATTGAAGTCCACATATCTTAAAGTTGCCATGGTTCAGAAACACTGTTGTACTGAAGATAAAACACTTTTCTCTGCTCCAAATTATCTTTCTAAAAATATTGATTTAGAATAGGTAATATTTCAACAAACTGGTGTAGTGCCACCCCTGAAAGGGCAGCTAAAGTCTGGATCCCTCTGTCCTTTTCTCCAGGCAATTGGGGCTTCCCTCACTCCTTCAGTCTTGTCATCTACTCTGTATATACTGTAACATCATCTACTGTCATCTACTGTGTATTACTCACCTTGCATCTCAACATCTGTCTCTCTATCTCTCTCTTGGTCTGTCAGATTATTGGTTCCCCACTGCCCATTTGCTTGCTCATTCTGCTTGCTCGGCTCCCCTCAGCCATTCTATGGCTCATCTGGATGCCCTCTGGCCTGCTTGTTCTACTTGCTCAGTTTGCCTCTGTTGTCCTCTGGCTCATCTGGTGTCCTGACCACTCACCTCCTCACTCTACTCACTGGAAAGTCTTCCCCCATCCCACCCCCAACAAACCCTAGGACATCCAATTGTATTTGTAGAACCCAGTGGGCAAATGGAAGCAGTCTTTTCTTGATCAGCTAGATGCTTGAGGATCTAATGGTAACCACTTCTCAGATCCAACAGACTGAACCCCCCACCCACCCCCGATAAGCAATGCAAGGTGGCCTCAATCTGTAGGGTAGTGTATAGATCTGGAATGGTCCTCTGGTTGAGAGTGCAGTAATCTGCACATTCTCAAGAATCCATTCTTCTGTGCCACAATTATAGGAGAGGCATAGGGTCTCTGAGACTCTTGGATAACTTCTTTAACTCTGCCAGATGCTCTCTGAAGTCATCCAAGTCATCTAAGAGACTCTACCAAGACCTTTCTGAATGCCCTATCTTTTTGTAATCAAAGTTGATGCTGGGCACTCATAGAGCAGCCTATATTAAACTCACTTTTGAAGAATAAATGCCATCATCTCAAAAATTGGTCTCTAGCTCTACCCATTCTGGAATAAACGGGATATTTTGTGGGTAGAACCATTCTATTGGGATCTTCTTCTTGGCCCCTTCCCCTGATGATGCAACAGGGATAGCAGAACTTTGACTTAATTACATCCAGTCCTTCAACCTCATCAGGAGATCAGTAGCATTTTGGACCCCAACCAAATTTTCTGTTGGGTATGTTGCAATGTCCATGTGGAAACCACCTCAGGGATTACATGCACTCCAGAGGTGGGTTCCTATCTCAAACCGGTTCGGTAGAACCGGTTTGTCAAATCTACCAAACCAGTTAGAAGAGGTTCCACCAGTGGACCCGGAAAGCAGGCCACACCTACAGAAGAGGTTCCAAAAAGTTTTGAAACCCACCACTGGTGCACTCCAACATCTCCTCTTGTGTGATCAGTTTTGAATTTACCCTAGGGCCCTGACTGTTTTCTGTTTAGCTTGAAAACAGAAATGGATGCTCGCAGATACTCTACCTCCCTTGATTGCAATGCCTTCCTCACTCAGCTTCCAGAGCTTCCCCTCTCCTTCTGCAGGGGCCTGTTGCTCTTGCACCATGCATTGGTACATTGCCCACAGTGCCTAGTGAATGCCCCCTGATTCTGGGTTACTTGCTGGAACAAGAGGTATGAGCAGTCACCTGATTAGATCGGTATTTGTCCCCACAATCCGGACCTCCAGGTTGCTCTTGAAGAGCAAGTACATACAATGGCCAAGGTGTCAACAGGTTTGGAATGCTGCACAAGCAGGGGGACAAACATTAACTGGATGGGGAGGTAATCACTGTAATGAATCCTCTCAGTTCCAGTGCCCCAAATCTTCAAATTGCCCAACTTCTATAGGTGCAAGTGTTTCAGGTGCCTGTCATAGAAGTGCCTGTACAATAATGTCACTTGCACATCTGAGTCAAGGAGAGCCCTTGTGTAAATGCCTTTGAGTTGCACTGGCACTATGGGGGCAGGACCTATTAGTTTGCTGGGGACTCTGCCAGCCAGGGCCAGTGCACCTGGTTTAGTAGTTTATGCTTAGAGTGGTTTATGGAGGCTTTTGTGCAATGTCTTGTTGCTTGACTTTCACTAGTGTCTCCTGGATAGAGACCTGACACAGAAGAAAGTATTCCCATTGATTCTGTGGCAAAGGTTTGATGAGGCTTCAATTGCCAGTTTTGATGCCCACTTCTGTCTTCTTAAAGCTAAAGCTAGTTGATGTAGGTGGGCACCCAGTTGGCTCTTCACTGGGGCCCTTGGGAGTTTCTCACTTGGATATGACTTCTTGGTCTGGGCAGCCTCATGCAAATATGTCTGTAAATATCTTTATCCCCACAATTATAGCAAATCAGTGAGTCAATAAATTCTTGGCTGGAGCAGTGGAAGGTTCCCCTCTTTTAACTGATCCACTTGCGACTGTGGTAACTTTTCTGATAACGTCACAAGGTCACGGTTTGTTGGTACATGTGCTCAGACTGGTAAATCAGGCAAGAAATTGTCTTTGTTGATCAAACACTTCTTGCAATATGATGAGGTAATCATAAGCCATACATGACTTCCAACTAAACTTTAAATTTCTAATGGCTTCTGCAGTGAGACTTTTCAGGATCTCTCTGATCCTCTGTTTCTTCTGTGTCTCTGGGAATTCATCTACTGCCTGTATGACTCTTTCATACTCCTCCTCTCCTGTGGGCACAGGCTGTATCCCCAATATGCAGTTGCCTGTACCCAACTCCCAAATGATTGTTGCTTGCACATAGTCATAGCCTTGAGCAATCTTGTCCCTGGTGTCCCTTGTGTGGGTTTTGTGCTTCCTCCTGAGGACCAATGGCCTGTCCAAGAGCATGGGTTGATCATGACCCCCTGATTTATAGTCCACGAGTCACTGGTCTGGGTGTTTGGGTGGACCAACTACACCTGGGGGGTATCTCAATCCACTTTCATGTCTACAATAAATATCCTCAGATCTGGGGATGGGGCCCTCACCACTTGTAGAACCTGCTCTTCTGTTCAGGCATCTGCTTAAGTCTACCTGGATATTTTGTTTCTTGTGTTACTTATTAATAGTGATAGGGTTTATTTTACCTACTTAGCTCATGTATCTGGAGCGATCACCTCTCCTGCAAAAAAGGGCTAGAAATAATTATGGATAAGCCTCCACTTGTAGCATCACCCCCAAAAGAGTCACTAATGTCCAGGGAAAAATTCTCTATCTTTCTCCAGGAGATTGGGGTTCCTCCCCACCCTCAATTCCCCTGCATGTATCACTCAGCTGGCATATCAACATCTCTCTCCTTCTCCCTCCCTCCCTCCCCCCTCTCTCTCGTCATTGTCTCATCTCTGATCACTCACTTCTCTACCCTACTTGCTCAACTCACCCCCCCTCTCCTCTTTCCTCCTTTGTTATTCTGTCTTTTTGCCCCCCTTTTTTTCTGGTCCTGTCCTATTCCTTACCTTTACTCTCCCATCCCATCTATTCTGCTCTAGTTTCAGTCATTATTTCCTCGCTTGCTTT